GAGGGGTAGTAGTAGGTGGAGTACCCGTAGTTGTAGAGACAGGGAAGTAGTAGTAGTAGTAGTAGTAGTAGTAGTAGTAGTAGTAGTAGTAGTAGCAGTTGTAGTAGTTGTAGTAGCAGTAGTAGTTGTAGTTGTAGTTGTAGTCGTAGTAGTAGTAGTAGTAGTAGTAGTAGTAGTAGTAGTAGTAGTAGTAGTAGTAGTAGTAGTAGTAGTAGTAGTAGTAGTAGTAGTAGTAGTAGTAGTAGTAGTAGTTAGTTAGTAGTAGTAGTAGTAGTAGTAGTAGTAGTAGTAGTAGTAGTAGTAGTAGTAGTAGTAGTAGTAGTCAGTAGTAGTAGTAGTAGTAGTAGTAGTAGTAGTAGTAGTAGTAGTAGTAGTAGTAGTAGTAGTAGTAGTAGTAGTTCTAGTAGTAGTAGTAGTCGCCGTCGTCGTCGTCGTAGTAGTAGTAGCAGCAATCGTCGTTGTAGTAGTTGTATTCGTAGTAGTAGCAGTAGTTGTCGTAGTAGCAGTCCTCGTGCTAGTCAGTGTAGTAGTAGTAGTAGTAGTAGTAGTAGTAGTAGTAGTAGTAGTAGTAGTCGTAGTCGTAGTAGTAGTAGTAGTAGTAGTAGTAGTAGTAGTAGTAGTAGGAGCAGTAGTAGTAGCAGTAGTAGTAGTAGTAGTAGTAGTAGTAATAGTAGTAGTAGTAGTAGTTGTAGTTGTAGCTGTAGTAGTAGTCGTAGTAGCAGTAGTAGTAGTCGTAGTAATAATAACAATAGTGGTAGGTCTTTTTCTGTCGTGCTCCTTAGCTCTTGGGGCCTATCCTGCCGTGCTCCTGGTCTTTTTCTAGGGTGCTCCGTCGTTCTTGGGACCCATTCTGCTGTGCTCCTTCGCTCTTGGGGTCGATTCTGCCGTGCTCCCGTTCCTTTTCTGTCGTGCTCCTTCGCTCTTGGGGCCTATCCTGCCGTGCTCTTTTTGTCTGCCGTGCTCCTTCGCTCTTCGGGCTCATTTTTCGGTGCTCCGGGTCTTTTTCTGCCGTGCTTCTTAGCTCTTGGTGTCAATTCTGCCGTGTTCCTTATCTGTTTTTTTCTGCCGTGTGTTTCGCTCTTGGGGCCTATTCTGCCGTGCTCTTCCGCTCTTGGGGTCTATTCTGCCGTGCTCCTGGTCTTTGTCTGCCGTGATCCGTCGCTCTTCGGGCCTCTTCTGCCGTGCTCCTGGTCTTTTTTTTCTGCCGTGCTCTTTAGCTCTTGGGGTCTGTTCTGCCGTGCTCCTGGTCTGTTTCTGCCGTGCTCCTTCGCTCTTGAGGCCTATTATGCCGTGCTCCTTAGCTCTTGGGGTTTATTCTGCCGTGCTCCCTGTCTTTTTCTGCCTTGCTCCTTCGCTCTTCGGGCCTCCTCCGCCGTGCTCAATAGCTCTTGGGGTCTATGTTTCCTGCCGTGCTTCTTCGCTCTTGGGGCCTATTCTGTCGTGCTCCTTGTCTTTTTCTGCCGTGCTCCTTCGCTCTACGGGCCTCTTTTGACGTGCTCCTGGTCCTTTTCTGCCGTGCTCCTTCGCTCTTCGGGTCTATTCTGCCGTGCTCTTGTTTTTTTCTGCCGTGCTCCTTCGCTCTTGGGGTTTATTCTGCCGTGCTCCTTCGCTCTTCGTGTCTATTCTGCTGTGCTCCTAGTCTTTTTCTGCTTCCTTTTTGGCTCTTCGGGCCTATTCTGCCGTGCTCCTGGTCTTTTTCTGCCGTGCTCCTTAGCTCCCGGGGTCTATTCTGCCATGCTCCTGGTCTTTTTCTGTCGTGCTCCTTCGCTATTGGGGCCTATTCTGCCGTGCTCCTTAGCTCTTGGGGTCTATTCGTCCGTGCTCCTGGTCTTCCTTCCGCCGTGCTCCTTCGCTGTTGGAGACTATTCTGCCTTTCTCCTCGTCTTGTTTTGCCGTGCTTCGTCAGTTTCAAGACGATGTCGCAGGAGCACGGCAGAACAGACCAGGAGCACGGCAGAATAGACCTCAAGAGCTAGGGAGCACTCAGCTCTTGGGGTTTATTCTTCCGTGCTCCTGGTCTTTTTTTGCCGTGCTCCTTCACTCTTGGGGCCTCTTTTGCCGTGCTCCTGGTCCTTTTCTGACGTGCTCCTTAGCTCTTGAGGTCTATTCTGCTGTGCTCCTGGTCTTTCTCTGCCGTGCTCCTTC